AAGACACCTTCCTGTTAATAATTGCTCAATAATGATACTCTGTTGTGCACTGTCTGCGGGTAAGTTGCATTGATGTCAACTGATTAAACAAGTCGCGTTTAAGAAATTTCCACTATTAACAAGTGGTTAAATTGTGACAATAAATGTGTGGACAAATATTTGAGACTTATTTTGGTGTAAGACAACTCTCGTTTAATTATTTTACACCATTACAAGTTGTTAAATTGAGAGAATAAATGTCTCAACAAATATTTAATACTTATTTTGGTGTAGAAAACTCTCATTTATATATATTTTACACCATTACAAGTTGTTAAATTGAGAGAATAAATGTGTGGACAAATATTTGAGACTTATTTTGGTGTAGAAAAGTCACGTTTAATTTACTCAAACCTACTGTCTTTTCAAGCTAATGTTGTTTTATCTCGATGGCACGCTTGTGTACCACGCCACGACATTGGTCGTTGAGTGGTGTTCATTTATCTAACTGCTCCAGTGTTCCGATGAGTTGAACGGGAAAAGGAAAAACCAAAACGATTGCTGGTTTCTGATTGCTTCGGTTCTGGTGAGTGTGTATCTAGTGTGATTCAAACCCATGTCATTTGTATTGGGCGTTTTTTTTATTTCCCATGTTGGCTACGCCGTAATATGCAACCACTTCCCCGTTTTATTGTGATTTTGTGAGTGTTCAATGTTGTGTTCCTCACCCGTCACGCCACGACCCAGTTTCAACCACACGGCCATTTTGCAACAAAGTGTGTGACCCTTGGCGTGACTCGACTGATATGATCGTTCTGTTCAACTGTTAAGCTAGGATTTATTACCGTTATTATCATTATATTGTCACGTGATTTGTTTTACCTTATGTGTAATGTCTTAAGTATCTTTATTGTAATTTGTATATACCAATTCGTATATACGGAGGAAACGACCCCGATTGAAGGTCATGTATTTTGTGAGATCACCAATTCGTGTGTTGGTACGGCTTCTAGAACCGTGAATAGAATAGAATAGAATAGAATAGAATAGAATAGAATAGAATAGAATAGAATAGAATAGAATAGAATAGGTCACTTCCAACAAGGTAAGAGTTGCTTAGGGCCCCCTCACCCACATCTCTAATCCTAACCTTGCCCCTCTAGTACCCCCTTCTCCATTTCAATTACTAGTATACTAGTATACCCCTATTTGGGTAATTTATTTGGAGGAGCATACCTTGGCAGCTGGAGTGTAGGGTTAGCTATCAGGTTAGGGGTGAGGGGGCCTGTATAAGAAACTCTACCCTTATAAGGGGTCGGGTGGAGTCTTACCCAAGCGGGATGACAAGCGTGGCATGGGATCATGAGGATTGTAATAGGTAAGAGCGGGGGAGGTCATAGCGAAGGAAATCTGTCACCATGCAGAAAGGTATGGCAACTTACCGTCTGACCACCCCGATGGAGTTCCAGATGAGATTCTCTCCATTTTGCCAGAAATTCTCTGAACAGTTTCTTTTTATTGTCACTGCCTTGTTTCTTCTGCACCCTTTCAAGAAATCCTGCAAGTTCACCGAATGGTATCTGTGCTGCTACAGAAGTCATTTCTATTGCCAATGAATCACCGGCTATTCGTTTTGAAATCGCGCCCTCTGCAGTTGACCGGACTTGCTAGGTGACAGGGCATTGACGCTGCAGTTCGGCGTCTTCTACACCGATATTTGTGCTGGGACAGCGCTTCCGGTGACGACACAACCGGTGACTGGGACTAAAACTTTGCTGGTTCCCGGTGTCTTTTGCGCGACGCGAGCGTAACCTGCTGATGTTGTGAACGCTTGCAGTATAAACAAATTGGACAATGCCATCAACATGATTTAATGGTTTAAAGTTTAATTATCTTACGATACTTATATTCACTAAACTTTAAAGGTGTATTTTCCACTAGTTTCTAACAAGGTTTCTAACCGGAAATGTCAGACATTTAACAACATATTATTATTCAATATTATTATCGATTCTGGTCCATTCTTTCTATCAATAATAAATATACACCAAACACACTGTCTAACCGCCAATGTTGTGGACGACACTTATTAGTAATGTGTTGTTGATACTAAATATACACCTGAAACACACTGTCTAACCGCCAATGTTGTGGACGACACTTATTAGTAATGTGTTGTTGATACTAAATATACACCAAACACACTGTCTAACCGCCAATGTTGTGGACGACACTTATTAGTAATGTTTATATCGATACAAAATATTGTAATAAAACTCATTATGGTAACAATGCACTTTTATCAATTATAGTAACATATTTCTATTTTTATCTTCCATCATATCTATTGAAAAAAATGAATTTCAATCAACTACGGTTTTCTAGAAACCACCACGTAAACAAATACATCATATGCAATAAGCTTGGTGATGTGAAGTAATTACTGAAAACAGACAAGTTAAAACTGATTGGTGTCCATATTGCACAACGATTACTTAACACAATAAAGGTAATAAGAGAAAACACAAGTAAAACAAATGATGAAGGATGAAGGAATTGAGGCGCAGATCAGTGAAGATGAAAGTTCCAAAGAGAGTGAAGAAGATGAGCTGATGATAATGATCTATTGCTTACACTAGATACCAGCCCCCCCCCCCCCCCCCCTAGAGACTGCACATACTGAACAAGGCAATTTTTTGGAGACTGGAGAATGAAATTGCTAAAATTGCGCATTGTCAGGTTTTCGGGGTACTTTAAATGATTGTACTTTTGAGAAATAAAATGTGGACTTTCTCAGTCCTCTTGACTGAATCACACAAGACATAATTGCCCAGAGATTATAGAACACTGTGGGTGTACACCCCTGTTTTTCTTGATGATAGCATATTTAAAGGGGAATAGTTCAATCACGGGGATTGCACTTGATGGCAGTCTTTTTGTTTTCTATTGTAATTGTAATCTGTTAGGCATATTTACATCAAGATAAGTCCGAGTAAAAACTTTCCTATTTAACAAAACGTACAGGGAGAGTCACTGAGTTGTGCATGGACAATTGTACCTTAGGGTCAGGTATTTGTATGCATTTGTTTTAACTGTTTGACGTATACAGATGATTTTTAGAGTCGAAAAATACTCTTTATTTGTTTATGGAAAGTGAATTCTAATAGGTAGTGTCATTCAAAATGTCAACCAGGAGTACTTTGATGGCGTCTAGTAAACTACTTCTTTCTCATTTGTAGGAAGTAGTAGTTTGGGGTTCTTTTCCATCGGGTAAGTATTGCAGGTAATCGAATCATATTACACATATTATCAAAAGATAAATGTCCTTACAAAAATTACCATTTAATGTTTTGTAAACATTTCCCAAGTGTTCATAAAAAGTCTTTAAATATTTTCCCAAGAAATGAATAAATGTTATACAAGATATTATTTGGTCACGCAATTTTTATACGCAAAAAGGAAGTTTAATCCATGCAGCAGTGAAATGTATCTTGTAAACACAGTGTTGTAAACTAACTGACAATGTATCTTGTAAACACAGTGTTGTAAACTAACTGACAATGTATCTTGTAAACACAGTGTTGTAAACTAACTGACAATGTATCTTGTAAACACAGTGTTGTAAACTAACTGACAATGGTCAGGGCATGTTAAAAGAACTTAAGCTTAAAAACGCACAAAAGATTATATCCAAAAATAAATATAAATTAAAACAAAACTGAGGGCTCTATATATTAGCAACTGGCAGAATTACTTTAATATATTAATGAAGATAAAATGGGAGAAAAAATGAGCCACAAGTATACAAAACTGTAGCTAAAAATTATTTCTTACAAAAACATCTGAAAATCAATAATTTGTTTAACGAAAATTAGAATATATTAACTTGTCAATTTAGAAAGGCCGGCATCATGAAAATATACTCCGTTACAAGGAAAGTGTGAAAATGCAACATTTAAGTCGAGAATAAAATGTATACTATTATGCATTGCTTATATTTCCAAAATATTAGATTAAAAGTAATGAAAACAATAGCAGATAAGCCTTCAATTGTGTACTTTTCATGGGACTGTTAAGTGTGTTAAGAGTGTTAAGGCAATTTCTGCCAAGTTTTATTTTACATATTTTAAACATTCAGTTGGAATGTTAACAATCAATATCATAAAACAGTGGTTCGACTTGTTTCCAATAACAATTTTATTATCTTTGTGTATCATTTTGCATTGTCCTGAATTGGAATTAATTGGAATTAAAATACATACATAAAACACAAACTCAACTTTGAAGTGATCCTGAACAACCAAATTAATGTATGTTGCATATGTAGGGGTAATACAGCCTACAGGGGAAGTCTGAACAACTATTCCAAAGTACTGTTTTCTGGGAGTTTCGGCCTTTGTTTTCACCGTGATGGTTGTTAGATGGGGATAATGTCCGGATGTCCGAGAATAGACCAGAATTGCCTTCGTGCCCCCCTCCTGGGGGTACTCACATTGATGTGCTATATGTATATGTGCCGCCAAAAGGGGCCCCAAATTCACCACTTCTATCTGAAAAGGGTATCCTTTTTTCATTAATTCTGTCTGAAAAGGAGTCCATATTTTCCAAAGACTCTAGAGCTTGAGTGATTCAACATTCAGGAGAACAAAGCTGATTTTTTCTTTATATTTCATGGGATACTCAGTTCATTTCGACGGATCGTCAAAGTCTATCCTCGGGGTGTCAAATATCCACAGTTTGTCTGAAAGAGGGTAGGCAATTTGAGTTTTATTTCTGTCCGATAAGGGTTCCAAATAACCAGCTACACACCGCTGTCAGTATGTTTTGCAAGTACCCCCCCCCCTCCGGGCTTAAGCTTCGTGCCTTCAGACACTTCTGTGGAGGGACTGTGCTTCAGAGATTTTGTCGACGACGACGAGCCCGGGCGACGAGCCTCCTGATTTTAGCGCCCTCACTCTTGAGCGTTGTTGTCATGGCACCAAGCGGTCAATACACATTACCTAATTTGCATATTACCAACGCAGGTCTCGCCATATTTATTTTTGTACACAGAGCCAGTGTAACATTCATGATTGACTTTAAATACACTTGTTGCATGGATTAAAGACTATCGGCGACTGGTATAGTTGGTGAGTACAATATACTGATGTTATATAGCAACTCATATTGACAAATATACTCTAAACTCAAAATTGAGCTCGATCGACGTGGTTGAAAGTTCAGACCATGGAGCTAAAAAGATCCATGATCAGATGTATGGATGCCTACTCCTTTCTTGTGACAGCTAAATTCGCTCATTTCAAAGTAGTTGTCCCGAAAACACAAACATTGCACATGAACTGACTTTTTGTTTATAATTAAAAAATCAACGGGAAACTGGAAGTAGTAACAGATTGTAAATACGACTCAGCAAGGAAAATAGCTGCGATTCTAGCGACATTGTGACTTTCGACATGTACTGGTAGTATTGCAACTAACAACTTTTCGATACGGAATATCTGACGTTTTTTTCATTTTATTTTGTATTTTATAATTAATTAATTAATTAATGGGACAGACACTTGAAGTGTCATTTGTACAACAACCGAGACCGGGCTATGAACACAAAGAATGGTCGAGTCAGAGGCAGACTTGGGGCAAAAAAACATCAGATCTCGCGAAACCTCGAGTGCCCCTCGATGTACAATGTACAAGTCATTGTGTTCATAATCTACAACTTCCATTTAGGTTTAAAATAATGTACTGATATTTGATGTAAAGATTGGTTAAGATTGTTACACATTGTTAATGGTCCTAGGTGAAATATAAAAATTGGTGTAACAGACCAAATTTTTGAGAAAAACATGTTTTTATTTTACCCTGATTATTGTATTTATACATATACAAATATGTGACTGTATGTGGGAAAGATACAACATAACCATTGTAATGAGGACAATTTTAAACTTCTTTTGAAACTCAACATAATGAAATTACCTTTGAAAATAATGATGGGTGACAGATCTACATTGTTTTTGTAAATATGTGTCTTAATTTTTTAAATACACAGCAATGTAAATACTATATTAAATCAAAGTGAACATGTAAATTGCAAGCATGACTTGAACCAATGCAAGCATACACCAAATCACCAAGCTACACGTCACAGCATGTCTTTCTAATACACCTTTCTTTTCTTTCCTACACAATTTCTGACATCAGTTATCAGTTTCTGACACACACAGCAATTTACATATTACATGACAACATTAACAGTTTATTTTTATTCCAAAAAAACATGACTTACGTTTGTGGCACTAAACAGAAAATAGTAAATTATTTGTGAAAACAACAAAATTAAAACTGTATTGATCAACATAAATATGTAACAATCATACCTTATTAGAAGTGCACATAAACATTTATATATGCAAATAACATCGAATAAACGTCATGGTAAATATACTACATCAAATCAAAGTAAACACATACTGCATGCATGATTTTTTGGGTATGACTGGTGGCCAAGGGGAAGATGTGTAGTGACGTGTAGCTAGGCGATTAGGTGCCTGTACGTGAATGTCAGTTCGAGTTACGCACGCATGCACGTTTGTGTTTACTTTGATTTGACATAGTATCTACCTTTGCATTTATTCTGTGTTATTTGCTTACTTTACTTTCTATATGGATTGTATGTTTGTGCACATACTACCATGGTCATTGCAGCATGACATATTTTAACCATACACATATTTTTGTCATTGATGTAATTACTTGCGCTACTAATACGGAATGAATCTATCCATTTTTCTAACACTTTAAAAAATCTAGTGTATTGTTAATAGTGAATTTGTAGATAACTTTTATTATTTCAATTTTTTATTAATTTCTCTTTGTTTTATTTTCAGTTATTTGTTGTTACATTGGATCAAGCACCTTTCTCATCATGCAGGGTAAGGGCATTTAATAGTTTATATTATCACCATAGCAACAGTCATTCAAAATTACCTAATAAACAGTTTTAAGAATTACTTGAAACATACATGTACCATGGTCAAGTTTTTATTATATTTAAAGCCAACAATAATATTATGGGTTATATTTTATTGTACGTGGGATTAAAGAAACCATGGTTACTATGTATGATGTTAATATAATACTTTATTGACATCATTCTGTTTGAAGAGAACATACAGTCAAGTGCTAAACTCATAATTAAAATTGATATATATATTTATAATGCACCACATTCTCTAATAGAGTTCGCAAGTTCCTTATCTACCTACATTGCTCATAATGTATATGAACTTGTCATCTGGTTTCATCAAATTAAAATATGGATGTATATAAGCAATTCTTCCAAACAGCTTACATCTTGCATTTTTATGACTTGGACAATCAATCAGGAAATGGAATTCATCCTCCACTGCATCCGTATCACACTTTTTGCATACCCTTTCTTCAAACTTTATTTTTGGTCTAACATGCCTGCCCTTCTCTATCATTAGACCATGGTCACTTATCCTGAATTTACAGATACTTTTTGTATAGTGGGGGTCTTTAATTTGTGTTAAATACTGTTCCATTTTGAATTCATTTTTGAATTTACAATAAGTTCTTAATTTATTATTTTCACCTGATGATGATTTTTTTGAGGTTATTTGTTTTTTCCATAATTCAATATAATTCTTTTCTATTTGACTACTTATTTGTTGTATATTTTTTTTACCTCTACTCCAAAATCCATTTATTTCACTTCCTATTATTTCCTGCACTGATTTAATATGACTTTTTACCAGGTAGATCACATGGGATGAGTGGCTCCGGTAGTTAGTGTAAGTTGGCTAGTGACAACTATTTGACTCACACAATATGAAAAACATATTGGTATAAGATGACAATTAGGTGTCTCAAATTCACATTTCACATGTCAATGTTTATAGCACATTTGTTCTGTGCAACACTCCCAAGCAATGCTAGTGTCTGCTTTCAGTTTACTTATTTTGTTAACATGGCTTTTTGTAGTGTATATTAGTTGATGTTACTGTATCACACATAGTACACATAGTCATGCTTTTATTGTAGTTGTTTATTTATATTGGCCTGAAAGTGTAATTGAGTAATGTCTGTTGCTAGGCAACCAGTAGTATATAAGCATGTCTAGTATGTGTTTACATGTGGGTTAGAAGGTGTTCAATATACATTAGTACTGTAAATGCATTAATTATTAACCAGGTTTTTTCAGCTATCTTCGCTGATAAGTAAAATCTGCTGAATTAAATTTACATGAACATAAAATAACAATATTGTTTCCTTGACAAATTTGTAAACATAAAACCCAGTGAATATGCTTGAGATATCAAAATAGTTAAATTAAATGCCATAGAAAGTAAATGGTTTTACAGTATGTGACTAAAAGACCGAACCACTGGATATGTCATTCTTGTGTTCTCATTTCAATACCTTATTGCTTTATTTTCTGACCATAAAATAACATTTTTCTGTCACTTGTGTATTGCAGATTGGTTTTACCATGCTCCAGCCAAGCGACGTGAAGACTGTGGAGCCGTGGAATACCCTGCACCATCACAGATTCCATTATTAAGTGGTGTAGAACTAGATGGAACTGAAGATGAATATAGTGCCAAACGGGGTTACTATAAAGAAAGTGATACCAAGTACATAAGACTTGCTAAGCAAGGTGGAAGGAAAGGTATACAATCATACTGTAGATTAGTACCAACTTACTGTACTACCGTTATGTTATTGTGTACATTAAGTGATTAAACATTAAATTTAGTAATTATTACTCCAAAATGTCTGTACTCTGTAGCTGTTATACAATATTGTTGCCAATATACTGTAAAAACTTTGAATTTGTGGTAAATAGGTTATTCGACCAAAGATATGAATTGCTACTTGAGGTCCTTTAAGATTGATCTGACATAACATTACATCACCTTTCTAGCTGATAACTGTTGCTTTCTATCTGCATTTACTGGCAAATGTTAGCATCTACTGTAAATGCATTAATTATTTGCTGGTTTTTAATTTTGCATTTTTTTCCAATAAGTAAAATCCGCTAAATTAAATCTACTTGAACTTGTGGAATGAACCCATTGTTTCCTTTCCATTTTCATGAACTTAAAACCAAATGAAATTGCTCAAAGCATCAAAATAGTGAAAATAAATAATTTTACAGTCATGCGGTTGTGTCATGTTATGCAGAACATGAACTAAAATGATATAATTTTAAACCCTTATCTAAAATGCCATGAATTAAAAAGATAAATTTATTAAATTGGGTGCACTAATTAATTAAGTTTTATGGTTCCCACGGTAACATAGTAGTGCAGTTAAATTCAGTAAATATTCGGCAATATCCAATTAATCAATTCAAGAAAAACATTATAATTAAAATAATGTGATTGTGATGCAAAATAAAGCTAAAACATCTGAAAGGAAGGCAGAGATGGGGGGGGGGGGTATACAGCTGGATATCAAATATGCATAAAAACATAAATGAAAATAATGCAATTGTACCACTAGGTATTGAATGTTTGAACTGATTGAACTACTGAGCTTGGAGGGTGGTGGTCAATGAACAAAGTGATTTTTCTTGTGTTGAGATATGTTGCATGAAACTCATATGGATTCTCCTAACAGATACTTACAAATGAACCAAAATAAAGTAATCTTGGATTGTGTGCTGTAGAGGGTGCTATTTAAACTTAACCACTTGTCAAATGATATATATACATTAAATCATTGTTTGACAAAATACAATTTCATTATTATTAATTCAGATTTACTCAGATTTCGAAGTCCCAAAACGTTATCAGAGGAACCAGTTCCATATCCCAGACCAGAATGGTTAGACTGGAATGAGACACGGGAGCCAGATGCTGGGTATGTGCTTAAACCTATCTGACTGATATACTACAGTGTTCTCCCTATGA